AGGCCCTGGGGAGAAAAGGGGGATGGTTGACACCACAGGAGAAAGGTGTTGGTGGCCATCGCTTTCATCGGATGTCTCCGATTTTTGCCACACATGCGTCATGTGTACCAGCTTCAAGAACTTAAACCGCAAGACGGGAGACTCTCATCAGTCGATGCTCACAGGCTTTTCGGAGGAGTAAGCAGTCATAGGTAGAGTAAGCCTGCCCCTAGCGACCACGAGAAGGAATCTCTATATTGTGTAAATGGTCGAATATTTACTAAGATTGTGGAAGCTGAACCGTTACAAGCGCACGATGCTGAGACAATCAGTCGCTAAAATCTGTTAAGAGAGCGCATCAAATTCAGAACATAGTGACCAGGAGCCAAACTGCGAAAGTCGCCAATTCAATGGGCTGTGCAAAACCTTTGGAATCCGTTAAACGCCGGGTCACTCCTAGGGCAATGGGTAAGTGGAAAGGATGAATCGTACTTTTTTCGACCTCTTAAAGGCATTTACCAAAGGAAAGTGAAAACTGGGATCAACATCCAGGACGCACCCTCCATGCCTACCAAGTCTCCTTACGTCAGTAGACAGCGCGCCATAGTCTACTTTGCGACTCAAGAAAAACTTTAGGAAAGTGTTCAACGTCGCGCACATACAACTGCAAAAATTATATGCCAAGCAAAAAAATCTACGATAAACGAGTCGAATAAGCATCTTCAATGAAGACGATCTGAAACAACTTTACTGACCAAATCCTCCACAAGGAACCCATTGAAAAGTCTCTTATCCCTGGAGCAAGGAGCCCTGCCACGTAATTTAGGTTCTGTCACCTGCAAAATGCCCATCCGGAATGCAAAGGCTTGCACCCAACACTTAGCATGTTGACCACTTGCCGGATGCATAGGAGAAGTGTATGTGTTGGCAAAAGAGAAGCCATGAGACGGAAGCTCATAGGAGGACTCTGTATAATATATAATTGTGTATAGGCTGTTTTGTATAAGAGAGAGAGAAGGTAAACTCGGGGAGCGCGAAGATATGCGCAGGGTGACAATGGCTTATTTATTCATCGATAACATCCTTCCCTTTTTGTAAAAGTGGTGTAAACAACCCCGACAAATAACTGCCTTGAAATTAAAAGTGGCGTGCTACGAAGTGGGACGAAATATTCTGCAACTAGTGTTGTAAAAATGCTCTAATTTAACAAAAATTATACTTGCACTGATGTTCAAACCATGTCTGCATTTTAGACATGAAATCCAGCATTCAGAATATTGTCTCCGCAAGTAATCCATTCATACTATGTGACTCAATCTTGAAAGACATTTAATTTGTTTAACCGCATCAAACAAGCTATCTTAGGTTGGCTAATATCGGGTGTGCATGTGCCGATTTTCATTGCTGAAAGACAATATGGTAGACGTAGATAGGATGCCTGAGTACAAACTCGTTGTTGTTGGAGGTAACGTGGTGATGCATTTTGATACACTGTTGGCACTTAGCTGGTGGTGTTGGGAAGAGCGCACTAACGATTCAGTTTGTCCAAAATCAGTAAGATGATTTGATCTTGCTTGATTTTTTTCAACCAGCTTCGTCGATGAATACAACCCAACAGTTGGTGGTTTTTTTCCTCCGATAATTTGTGTCTTCAGAAGATTCCTATAGGAAGCAGGTAAATATTGATGACGAAACGTGCATGCTTGATATTTTGGATACTGCCGGTCAAGAAGAGTACAGGTATGCTATTGTCCCTGCCGTCTTTCAAATTTTGTTTTTTAGCGCCATTCGCGAGCACTGTATGCGAATGAGTGAAGGATTTTTATGTGTATTTGCTGTTGATAATGCCGAAAGCTTCGATGACATCCGTCAATACCAGGAACAAATAAGGCGAGTCAAAGACGCAGATGAGGTGCCCATGGTTCGTAAGTTGACTGCAGGCTGCGTTAAAA